CGTTTTAATTACAAACGGCACCGTGCTATCTTTCAGGCACATTGTTGTTCTATATCGAGCTTTATCGGCAAAGTATGACAACTAAACAAAAGGAAATTGGTCGGCCCTATTGTGAAATCAAGCAGGCGGAAGCTTTAATATAGAACGTGTTATCAGAAGAAAAATAACAAATGAAAACAAAAAAAAAAAAAATCAGGCGTCGTTTTTTATTGAAATAAAATTAACTTCTGACGCACAATAGAATGTTAGAAAATTGGTCATTTCATTTGTATGTAATCGTATATTTCTTGGGGTATTTAGTTATGAAATTTACATTAGAAGGCGGTAGGAATTGAACATACCGCATACCTAACAAAAATATATGTTTTATTATTTTTTAATAAACATGTGCCAATAATTTCGGATGCAATGTAACATTTTACTATAGTAACATCATTGTCAATGTGTCAAAGTAATTTTAAACTGTTTGAAATTGAGCCGGATAGGGTGGAGATTACGTTTTATGATTTTATTAATTTAGTTCTCTTCGGGATGAGTGTCATTACCTGAATTGTTCTGTAAAAAAGGAAGCCAGAGAGCTTCCATTTGCAATGATTTCTGGAAAAATAAATTATTAAGGCTGAGACCGACTGGGGATTTGAACGACAGACCTAGGTTTGCAGATGTTGCCGTCTCAAAACAAGATTTTCTCTGAAAAAGATTTGCTAGCAGCATTTGAGTCGAACTTGGGCTGTTATGATGTTTAGCTCGCATATGCTTTATGGAATACTTCTCAGTAATACTCAATAAATAACAAATACTACCTTCCAAGAAACAGCCACCATTCACACCACGGCAAAATGCATTGCAGAGTCTCTCTGGCATTACTTTCATTGCAAATTTCAGATCCCTACGTTTGTCTCGAACGAAAAAAAAAAACACAAAAAAGGTTTTAACTTAATTTATCGTAATATGTGTTTCGAAGAAACTTGCCAGTTGTCCTTGCCGATTTGATTCGAATTCTAAATATTGAAAACAAAAAAAATGATCCATTATCAAACGGCTCGACGCATGAAATCTTCAGTGCTTGTGATCTGTTTTTTTTTTTTTTTTGTTAGTCATCATTGATCTAAGCTACGATTTGGGATTTATAAACAGACTCTTGTCCTGGTAAAACACTGTGGAGATTAATGAGTTTTGCATCTCAATCCGAAACATTACACTCTCTACGAAACAAATCCAGTTCCCCACTAATAATATGATAACTATTTTGAGGTTACAGAATTTGTACAAACAATTCTTCACTTTTTTGAAATAGAAGAAAATTTGCTAAAAAAACAAATAAAATCAAATGTAGGGTCCTATAAATGTAGGCATTTGTAGAAATGTATATAATTTTGGTGAATTCCGTAACACGGTGTTACCTACAAAAAATCCAAATGTTATTTCATTCGTGATATGTAGTAAAAACAGGTTGTAAGTCCAAAATTGGGGAAAACGCATTGCACACAAAACATGCGATTTTGTAAATCTGAGTTGTGGGGAAAACGCATTGCACACCAAACATGCGATTTTGTAAATCTGAGTTGTGGGTTCATAGTACTTTTTTCAAAATTCTGTAATTTCTTAATAGATAGACACATGGTACAATAAGAAGGTAGAACAGCTTCGTAAAACAACATCAATACAGTCCTGAGGCTATGCCCGCTTCCTGTCATTATATGCAATTATATGCAACGAGTTGCTTTCATTTTTTTTTTTTTTTAATTTTTATATTTTTCCTCATTGTTAAAGCGCGAAAAATGAATGCAATGCCTCAATTTTCGTCAAAAATGCGTAAAAGCAAATTTTGTGTAAAAGCAAACAAACAGTCGAAGACTCGAAATAAGGCAAGAATCCACGGAACAACCTCTAAAAATGAGGATAATTTACAGAAGCTGCTGCTCCAAATAATGGACTTTTCCGTGGATTTATAAAAAATCTATATTCCTTCAACACATCAAATCCTCGATTTTTAAAGAAAATATAACGCTCTCAAATTATGGATTTTTGAAGAAAGCATATTTGCGCATCTCATATAGTGGATTTTTTTTATTTATTTTAGACCTAAAAATTATTATTTGTGAAATGAGACCAATTTCTAATCTCAAGGTCTTAAAGGATTCGTCTATCAATAACATTCCGTGCCGAATATTACACTGGTTATTTCTATCCCATATTGGTTTGTATGAGTGTAAAGATGATACGTTCCCCTTTTAAATTATGAAAAAATTGGAACAGGGAACAAAGTCTTTAAAAAGAATTAATTTTTGCGCAGTTTCAAAACTATTCTCCTCCAGTTTAGAAGCTATGAAATGGTAAGTACTCTGGGTCGTTTTCCAATCAAATATTTCGGGTTAAAATTATGACAACAGATTTTGGAGTAGGGATTCAAATTGATTCCACACATCGTACTCTATTTCAATCCTTCCTCCTTGCTTGGCCACATGAAAATACTACTCCTTCTCGATTATATTTTATTTGTATTGTATTTGCACTTTATCACAAATCTGTTTTTAGGTAAAAAAGTTCAGCCGGAGTTTCGACAGATTTATATCCTCAGAATTTGACCATTTCTTTGTGTTTACTTTATTTGAAGGACGTATCATAAATTAAATAATTCAAACTTACCACTAAATCTAATATTGATACTTTGAAGAGAAAAGGGAATAATATCACATTTTATGAGAATAATGTTATTCAATATTTCGACCCTTTGTAGAATAGGTACCAGATCTAATGTTCAAATATGATCTGATGAAGATATAAAAGAACATAGGCTATTATCTGGGTGAATTATTTTCACTTTGAGGGATTAGAATTGGTGAATAGACATATGAATGAACTAAAGGAAGGATTGGTCTTTGTTTGTCCTCCAATATGCGTTCGTTTACAAACCACACAACACCTCATATTTGGTTTGCTTTTAACTTCTTCCAAATTTTTCAATTTTAATAATTGTTTAGGATTGTTTTCATTTAATGTATCTGTAGGGCGAATTCATATTACACCAATTCGTTTGACATATCATGTCGCCTACAGCTGGCCTCATAGGGCTACCTTGTAATTCTACCTTGGTACCATGTATAGACGACACATATTTGACACGTTAAACAATTAAAAGTTCTCAAATTAGGATCAGTCCATGGTACAATAAATTCAAGGTAGGGCAGAACTACCATATGATTTAAATTTTTTTATTTTTCTGGCTTAATATGTCGACTTAATTTGTTTATGTGTGTGTATTCTTTTCAATAATAAAAAAAATAGTACAGAAAATATTCAAATTTGGGTGTTTTCAAAATGCTTATTGCGTATGCATCCACAAAATCTACAGTTTTTGTCGCGAAATAAACCATAAGAGATATATATAGACATGATTTTGAAAAGATATTTTGACTTTTCATTCAGTCTTCGCGGTTTTCAATTATTTATTCAAAATAAATGCAACAAGTTGTTTGCTTTTTTATTGTTTTGATAGTAATTCTGACATTACAAGCCAAACAGATAGACCTCCATACTTGCATTTTTTTCAAAGTTAGCCTACCTTGTATTCATTGTACCATGGATCAGTCGTTGCAGAGGTATTAAAGGTCAAGATTTATCTTTTCAATTTTTTGATCATTTGCATGGATGTGAGAGTGTTTTAATCACTTGTTTCTTAAGAAAGGTCAAAATAATTATGAAAACAAATGATAAATTTTCTTAAAAAATATTTTAATTATTATTTTACAAATTAAAAAAAAAAACAATTTACTCAACGTAAAGGAAGAATAATAATAAGACATAAAGAATCAGATATTTAAAAAATTTCATTTACGTAAAAAACTGTAGATGACATGGGTGAATGGCGTTTATCGAAGGCAATGCATCTTCACATTTTCTTATTAGGCGCAATAATATGTACTAATAACACATTGGAAGTATCAATATCTGAAGCATTTGTACTTGTTTTAATTTTGTCCATCACACTCCACTGGAAAAAGAGCTCGGTGTAATTGTGTCCTTTGTGTGCAATTGTTGTTGTGATGACACAATCTGAGCTACATGTATTAGTGCCAAACACATTACCAATTTATTTTTAATAATCCGTTTGGTTCTAGTGGGACTAGTGTGTATTAGTTTTTGGACAATAGAGTTATGTTACAAATTTTCGGCAATTGCATCAACCCAATTTCAAAGTCAAACGTTTTTGATTGTCTAATACCTGGATATTAACTACGTCAATTGACCAGATATCGTATTTGCCATTTATAATTTAGGTTGACTCCATATCTTTGTAGATTTCGGAAAAGCATTTGATGAATTTATTTACCTTATCGTTGAATACTAATCGTTCTTCGGTGCTACATGCATGTAATCCTTTAGGTCGTTTATCAACCAACTGCTAGCACATTTCCAAATAAATAACATTCTCCATATTCCAGTTTAAATTGCTTGTGGAACGATTTAATATTCGGATATCATACCATTATTATATATTGTACATTTTTCAAAGGTAAAACAACAATTTTTGGAATTGGATGTAGATAAAAAATAAAAAAATAAAATAAATGAAATTGAAAACAGTATCTGAAATATGCAATTGGTGTTTAACATTTCTAAGTTGAAACATGTGTATATAGGCAAAAAAAAGGTAAGAGAAAACACACGTATAATTTAATAAACTATATAAAAGGTTAAACAGACAAGCATATGCGGGCTGAAAAAGGACAGCCTTAGCGGGTGTCACTGAAGTTGAAATTTATTTAAAATATAGTACCTGAGTATAAATAGAAAAGCTACATGAAAAAAAGTCAATGGTCCGAGAAAATAAAAAAAACCTAACGAAATATGAACAAAATATCTCACTTTGGTGGCCTTATTTTTTCAATATTTTTTCAGAATTATTTGAATTTATTAGTTTCAATATGTATACTGTCGAAATACATAGAGCCGTTAAAAATCGTTTATGAAAAAATTGATATTTTGGACAGGACTGAAATGTATTCTGAACCACCGTAGATGAATGACATTTTATAGTTATATTTATTTACCTCTCCATCAAATATTTTTAAACGTAATGTCATTTTCAAAATTTATGTACGCGGTTGTGAAAACCACCACTGATTGAAGGCAATTTGTCTATTTAAACGACACGTAAAATGAGCCGATTTGTATGAAACGCATTCGAAAAAAAATATCAGTTGAGATAATTTCCGAAAAACTCTCCTCACAAATATAGCTCAGATCAATGACAAGACCCATAAAAATAACCGGCCTGAAATATTTCGTGATCATGTAGCAACTGAAGGTTTCTTCACATCGCACACTATCGCTCTAATTGAAGTATGCCCAGCACAATTGAATGATTTAGAAGTGAAAGAGTTAGATTAGTAGGACGGCATTCCTTACACCAAGTAGAAAGTATAAAAATATATGTACCATTGAATATATTTATATGTACTACAGAAGGGGGTGTGGTGGTTAAGGATCATGTGTAGATGTATGCATGTTGGTAGGATGTCAAGTGTCTAGTTTTTATTACACACACACATGCACGTATCCTAACAAATATATGCATGTATGTGTATACGTTTGTATGTGTGTTTAATGGAAGAATCATGAGTTTTCGTTATGAAGAACTAAGTTATATTTAATGTTGGATAGATACGATTATTAAGGTGAGTAGTTGTAGTAGTAGTAGTAGATTAGATACAAAAACAAAGATTTATGTTATTTTAAAGTGGACCGTTCCTCTTAATGCGTCGCAACGAACAATAATAGGCCATAACTGCTCGGACACTCTTCCACTTTTGATTTTGATTTGGATTAGTACCATTTGTGTTGGCCGCTGCCAAATTCTCATTGTCATTGTTACTACTCCTTAGACTATCGGCCTGTCGATCGGAAATGTTCTGCTGCTGGTGCTGGTAATTGAGCGAGTTACTGGTTGCAGAATTTGCAATACTATTCAGAATTTCCGATGATGGGCTATTCAGAAGCAGCGTTACATGTCTCCGATTGGTATAATCGACCGATGAATGATCCGATAGAGTGAGACGATCCCTTTCCGTATAGCTCTTAATGGCAGCTTGGCGCGTTGCAACACGGCTAATGTTATTTCCCATACTCTGAGAAAATGTTGTCGACGAAGAGGAAGGAGATCTTAAGAAATGGTAAACATTTAAACGTTGCATAAGTGACTATTAATCTAGGAACATTAGTGGTAGTATGTCTGTCTGTAAGTACATATTAGGAGGTAATTAGTAACATTAATGATTCCCAATTTCAATGTCTAACTGGAGGTCTTTTTATTGATTGGCATTGGTAGCAATAAAAGAAAACAATTAAATGCAAAGAAGGCATATGAACGAGAAGAAAAGTGTACAACTATAAAACTAAATGAAAATTGAGACAATTAAACTGTTCAATTACATTTTCACTGAGAGGAGACTCATTCAAAGATGGCGGTTGAGTAGATGTTTGAAGAACCAAACAGTTTCTAACAAGTTAGCCATCACGTTGATAGGGTCATGGATGGGCTGGACAAGATTAATTTGATAGAGATTCTACAAACCCACGATTTTGTGGTGCCAGACCTGCGATGCTCACAATTAAATTGCACTGGATAACAATATGATAAAACAAATTCGAATTCGACCTGAAAATTGACTCAGCCATTCGATGGTGTATATTTTCCTTATTAAAATTATTGTTGAATTTATTATTAAACAAGTTAAAAAAGCAGCTAAGATCGGCCGGGCCGAACTTTTTTTACCATCCTCAATTCGGAGTTGAAAAATTTAAAAAAAAAATCCGTCGAAAAATGCCGCTTAAATGAAAACTTTATATAGGGGCTATACGAAGACGTGGTGCTGGAGAACTCTTCGTGTATAATTTCAGACAATTCCATTTAAAAAATTGGCAAAAATCATCAAAATACCGATATCGGGAGGTACAGTTATACGGGGATATACGATATCGTGGACCCATATAGAACATTCTTTTTGAGGGGGTAAAGTGTAGCTGCCTATCTTTATTCGTTTTGAATCTAGTGTGATTACAACAGACGGATATACGGGCTAAATCGTCACAGAATTTTACGCTGATCAAGATTTATTTTGATGAATTACAAACGGAATGATGAACTTAATATACCCTCCATGCTATGTATGGTGGAGGGTATAAAAACAAATTATAAATATTATTTATAATTGACAAGTGACGTGTCGGATGTTGGATTGTAGCACGTGGTTAGCTCTTCGTCTAATGCTGATGAAGTTCAACGGAAAATATAAAGGGAAAGGGATACTTCCATTTCCACCTTACTTCTACCTTGTTTGCTTTGTTATTTTTGGATAGACAACGTTCAAGTACGAGTATTCAATGTAAGTGTAGCAGCAGTTCTTTAGGTGATGATACATAAGCAGCTTGACATCGTGACATGGCATGGCTTATTAATTTCAAATTACAAATCTCTTTTTGATATGACACATGAAAGATGAGCCATGATGCCAAGCTGCTTATGTGTCATCATAGCATCCTAACTGCTCATTTTAACATGGGCATGTCATGGGAAATCAGTACTTTCCAAATTAAGATCAATAAACAAGTTCATGAAGCAGTCTTTATATTTCTAGAATACTATTTTATTTATACGATGGAGAGGTTGAACTGGTCTTCTGATCGGTATGAAGTGGCACACACGGCTGCATAAGACCGCTATTTAACGTTTCTACCATCCAAAGGCATAGTATATGCCCAAAAAAGATGAATTGATGCACATAATAACCTGGATTATATAGGCTTTAACCTATTGTATCTGTAAGGCGCAGTATACCGATTTCAATGATATTGTTGACATAAGTTATATACACTACAAGGTGATATAAAAAAACTGCAACAATGTCAAACGCCATAATTTTAACATTTTTTTAAATGTCGGAAATAGCATCAAATTTTAGAATAAGACTAGATTTGTTCGAATTGATCACCTTTGGCACGAATTATGGACTTACGGCCAATGAAACCGTCACACGCTGCCCGAATGTTGCTCTGCGGTATTTTAGCCGAAAGCAGAAAAGCTACCTCAGTGTTTTTAAAATCTCTGTCAAATTTTGAATGCGCAATATTAGTCTGCTTATTTGTAAGTAGCGGGTTGTGATACCCACCCTGCCACCAATAACACCCACGACACCTTATTGTATACTGCTAACATGCTCTTGTATTCATTTATTCATTAGAAGGGCGGAAAAACACAAGCTTAGGATTATGATTAAACTTCGGAAAGATTAAGGGATGAATATATTCTGTTGTGAAAGCCATTTAGTCGTGGAACGAGCGAAGCAAAAGTATCAGTGAGAGAGTTCTTCAGAAAAGTTACTGTTCTTTGTGGACTAATTTTAGACTTCAAAAGCATGATTTAAGAACTGTGCTAAATAAAGCTGTAAAAAATTGTAAATTACATAAAAACAAGGCCTTCACAAGCTCAGAAGTTTTGTAAAGAAATGGGTAGTCTACATACATATCTTCCTATCCATACCGAGATACGTTAGTTTTCCAGGGGATAGGCACTGACACGATTAGTGGAGTACCAATATTCTTCGAAGGAAACCCGAATATATTTGCCGATATTTTTCCAAATTAAACGAACTTAACTTGCATCTGAAGGGTTCAAACGAATACGACGTTTTTGCGCTCATGAATGTGCTACTCATGTGTGTTAAGAACGGTAAATATAATTGTTTTGAAACACTTGAGACCCTTTTGGTACAAGAAACAAAGTGCAGCCAAAGATAAACATACTTTCAGCAATTACTGCGCAATTATCATTGTTAAGAGCTCATTCACTTATCGAAAGATACATCACATTAGGAGCTTCATGAACCCAATGCATAGGGTAAGTGTGCCTAAGTTCAGCATGTCCTAGTAGTCGGCACTTTTTATTTTTAAGCCCAAATAAATGAAACTATGTATTTTGTTTGCTTCAAATATATTGTCAGCTATCTTTACAGCTGTACAATTTCGGTAAGAAAAGATGATTTATTCTAATAAAAATTAAATTTTTGTCTGTGAAGGTCCTCAACAATCCATATTCTTAAGAAAAGTACAATAAAGACGTCGAATCAGTTTAACTAAACAAAAATATTATATTTTAATGAATTAATTTGTTATTATTATTCACTATTCTTACAAAAAAAATTGGTATGCCGACTGTTGGAACATGCCATACCGATAATTAGCAAGTGGTGCCGACTACTGGCAAAAAAGCATTGTTTTAATAAAACTACAAATTTATGAAATTTAATTTAATTAATTTAATAAAAAGTTATTAAAACTTTATTTATTATTGCAAAAACTATACAAAATTTCGAATCTGAATAAATTAACTTCGTAATAATTGAAAAGTTCCACTCATAATGGTGACCTATTAAAAACGCGAAAATCCTAAAAGTGCCGACTACTGGTACACTTACCCTATACGGTTATGCTGATTCATGTAGAACGCCAAGGTAATTTTTGTCACTCCTTGTGTTCCATGGATTTTGAATTTAATAGAAAGATAAAGTAAGATAACTCTTTGAGTAAATGAATGATATGTAAAACACACTCCGTATTATACTGTCGAATATATATGCCGAATATACTGTCAATATTTCTGGGAGTGATAAATAAGAACAACATTATGTCGAATATACGGTATACCTAAACATACTTTTCAAATCTATAAAAAAAATGATGCGGTATTTTTTTATTTTTATTTGAACTCGCCCATTGTGGGTATTAATTTGGGGTGGTGGAGAAAATCAATGTAGTATGATTTTGGTTTTAAACATTGCAATTAGGGTTTGTAGAGGTACAAATGTTGGAGAAACGTTAGCAGAACCGCATCCAACATTCCACCAGCACATAAGTATATTGGATCATACCAAGATCGTTAGGTTCACATACAATCAACATATATGTTATCATTTATTTCGAATGTACATATATGTAAGAGTGAGAGTGAGAGAGATGTTCGACTTAATCCAGCGTTACATGTACACCAATAAAATGTATTTACATAACTGCAAATTGCCTTTGGCAGCAGATCGTATGCCACTGTGTAGAAACATAGCAAAGTTGTATAATATGTATGTTTTCGGTATGTATGAATGTATTATTTGGATGGTGTTTGTAATTATTCAATAATGTCCTTGAAACTTACCTCTGACTCGGACTTTTACTATCAGAGGAATGAGCGTTACTGTTCTGGTCATCGTCCCGTCGCTTTGATCGGCGTTTATTATCGACACGAACATGATCATGTCCCGAACTGCTGGTGCCAGTGGGACTAATCACATCCGAGTCACTGTTATTACAATCCGCTTGATTCATTGTTTGAGGAAATGTAATCGGAACTTCGCTAGTTTCAATCTAAATGGACAAATGGAATGAACTATTAAACGGCTACAGGATAACACTGAGGTTTCGATACTAATATGCTAATCTCAACTTACCGCATATAAACCGGCCGATGAGGCTGTCGACGATGAGGCCGCTGCCCCGGTACTGCCGTAGTTCAGTTGTGAGTGATAACCGCTCGACAATATTTTCTTGTGAGCCGATGCGTGTGCGCGGTACGCACTTACGCTTAGTTTCATTGTGGTGTACACATATAAAGCAAAAACACAGACTTAGCGCCCGACTGCGGTCGAATATGACACACGACCACATTTACTACGCTTCGCTTTTCATGATCTGATGAACTTTGACCTGTTGTATTCTTACCTCTAGCAGTTGTGAGGAAATCCTTTCCCCCGCTATGCGAGTAGATATATGATTGAAGTGGACGTTGGCAATGCATTAACATCAAATTTTATCGCTGCATAAGAGGGTGGCTGAATTCGTTGTCCCCATGCGGCTACATACCACCAGGCTCTTACAAATATTGGAACAATGCATCAGTGGTTAAGGCCCCTACGTCTAAAAAGGAAGGGACGTGTTAAACGATACTTTTTGTAAATAATTTTCAATTTGTATTAGAATAGTTGAAGTGGGTCTTTTTAAAATAAAAAAATTAATACAATAAAAAATAAACTTTATGTTCTTTAAAACCAAAGAAGCCCTTCTTACTAAACTCATACGACAAGTAATTAAAAATAATAATTGCAATATTGTTTTATATTATATAGGGTTTACATTTTTTTACTTTAAAATCGTTCCCGTACGCGAAAATCTAGCAAAGCTTACAGGCTAAAGTACTTTTTACCAGGCGAATTTGGCCGAGTTAAACACAGTAGTCTGGTTGCCAGCTTCGGATTGCCTGAAATATTGATTTTGAAGGATTGACATTAATTTTTACATTTTTACTAGTTTTCTGTTTTCGTACTTTCAGGAAAAGCTGTTCTCGTGATTGTGATTCTCATTTAGTTGAGAATTCTCGATATTTAACGAGCTTGCTTAACCCAAAAGTCGTCATATCCAAAAGTAGCTATATGAAATCATGATATTGGTGGCGATCAATTGCAAAGCTGTCAGTTTTATTTTGAGAATGTTTCTCTTTAATAAAGAGTAATATTAAGTTTAGGCAATCCAGACTTAGGCAATCAATCTATATATGTGTTAGTTACTACGCTTATAACTTAAGAACCGCTGGACTAATTTTAACGATTCATACAAATTCGGAATTGTCTCCTCTCCGAAAAGGATAATATGCAAAAAAATCGCGTAAAAATGTGTTATATTAACATTTTCATTTTGACTTTTGAAATGTACAATAGTAATGTTTTATTTTGCATAATTTTTTTCCATTTTGACTTACTTTTTTCTAATGTACATTTGTAGTGTTTTTTTATTTTTATTTATTTATTTTTTTTTTTTGAATTCAAATATTAATACCAATTTATTTAATTGACTTTATTTCTTGAGAAATGAAATTGATGGCGAGTTACATGGAAGTGTAGTACCGAATTATGTGGTGGCGAAACGGAATAGATGATGTCGAAATAATTTAATGGAATCGAATTTTAAAATAGAAGTACATTCTATTGACAAACTATATAAGGATCTTTAAACATTTTCTGTAAATAATCAGCGAACAAGTTGAAGATTTTTTCAATGTGTTATTCTTCTTTTGTCACTTTTTTTTTCAATTTGTATTATCTAATTGAATTCAGTAAATTTTTTGTGAACAAAATAAAGAATAATTTTTCACTATATACAAATTTTCACCCAAAAATTAAATAAGTGGGAAATACGATGTTAACTGACATCTACCTTTCAACTCCAGGGCCGACATCGTGGTTCAGCTGGAAGATGCGAACACATTTGAACAAACGAAAATTACCGAAAAACCCTAATGGGGCTCATTTCAAAGCGTGGAACTACTTCTTTCCTGTCACAATAATCCGTCCAATGTACAATCAGAAAAATACCAAATATAAAGGGTGGAAAATAGTAGAGCGAATGGGACTCTTAGTAAGAGAAGAATTTCTATCCTTGCAGAAATTCTTCCCAAACATTCGAGATACCTTTAATCGCTTTTGCAGGTCATGATATCGATCATAACTCACGGATAAGGGTACAACCCGATTCCATATTTATATAACCATCGTATGATTTAAGTTTTTTTGGTGTCTTGGTCACTTTTTTAATATTTTGGACATTATTTGGCATATTTGTTTCTAAGGAGGTAGAAAACCTCTTCGCATAAAGTTTGAAATTTTCAGAGTAGGGCCCATTTTGGTCTTGACCATATTCATTAATTGATTTGGCTAAAAATTGTATTTATGCTACCCTGGGGTAGGGAACCATCATACAGATAATTGCCACACAGGAATTTATTTAAATAAAGTCCCCACAATAGAGTATCTCCAAGTCCACTTTCACATCTAATTGGTGGTCAGAAAAGAAAATTTTGTTTTCTATTGAATTTGTAACCCCCAAGAGAATATTGGTTGGGCCACGTTTTGGTATAACCCTTATATAAATGTATCCCTGATTTCAGCTGTGACCGTGGTCTTGGCCACGTTTTTCAACTGATTTGGCCATTATTTGCTGTATTTAGGCTACTTTGTGAGTAGAGAACCGTCTTACAGAAAAATGTCAACATACGTAAATATTTTGGTACAGTCCCCATATAGTCCCCAGGCCCGCCGATCTATAGTGATGTTTACCGATTGGCGGACAACAACGCGGGTATTGTTTAATCGTCATTGAATTTTACTATGAACAAGAACATAGACTTTTTGGGGACTCTAATGCGCAATTTGAGGTGCTATGGTAATGGGTGTAAAAGCGTAATTAACTTTGACTATTCAGAAATTATTTTGCCCTCCTTCCATAGTTATTTATTTCTATTTAGTCGAATCAATATTTATATTAAAATTTGTTCACCTTTATGAGCTAGATTTGTGAAATATTATGCTATCCTAAATTTGCATTATGAACTAAAACTACGGGCCGGCAACGCGGACAAATCCGATGAGAAATGTGACAAAAATCGTCAAAATAACGAATTTCGAGAGGTACCGTTATATGGGTACTATACCAAAACGTGGACCATTTTCAATACCAACCATCCTATACACAGTACAAATTGTTCTGCTAAATTTTGAAGCTCTACGTCAAATAATATGGGCTGTATCGTAATTTAAATAAACAGACATACAGACGGAGTCTATGACGAACATTTAGGGATGTTACAAACGGAATGAAAAAGTTAATATACCCTCCTTTCCAAGGTGGGGGATATAATAAGCATTAAAGACTAAAATTACGGGCCGGCAACGCGGACCGGGCCAGCTAGTATTTAAATAAAACTAACTGAACCGGCCCGCATTCCTGGTCCATAGCTTTGGTGTTTAACGCATACAAATCTTCCTGATATAAATTGTAATCTTATAGCTTTTCACTTTGAAAAAGCATTACCTTCGACTATAGGCGTGTCAGGTTACCCTAAAATTTGTAACAATTGCTGTCGGCTGTTAACAGAAAAGCTCTGTAAAAGAGAGCCGTTCGAGAGAGAAATAGCTGAGAGCTTGCAAATTCATGCTGGACAAATTTCTTCTTTCAAACGCTTGCAACTCTTCTTCTTCTCCTTCCGGTGATGCACATTTGGCCAAGAAATTTTAAAACATTTTTTATTTTGAAAAAACGCAAGACCAATTCTTTTTTTATTAATTTTTAAAAGATAATAGTCGCTAACCCAAAAAGATTCCATATTACTTTGTATGTGTACACACACCTACAGCTAATATTTTCTAGTAAAATTAATTAGCTTCACATAATCCATCCACAGGATTTGAAATCAAATAAAAAAATATATATCAGCGGTTTGTGTATTATAAAGTCTTTACGGCATCGTCCATTTACATGAGCTGTAATTTTGAATTCGTAGCGTTTAAAAGATAATGCTCGCCACCATAGGATATTGTATACTATTTTGTCGACTTGTAAATTATCCTTCGATGATTAATATCCAAGAAGGCACTTCGATCCTTGTTAAGGTCTTTACCTGACCTAATTCCACCAGCTGGCATCCGTCATTTTGCAGGTTTCTGCAACAAGTTACTCAGCTTAGGGTTAGAGGGAACGTCATCAATATATCGTATAGTAATCTTTTAACCGATATCTTCATTATTTTTTTGCAAATATAAATATTTTAGATAAATTCAAAAAGTGGGCGTGGTCCATTTTTCTGTCCATAAAAATCTAAGTAGAAGTATGGCGAAGGTGTTAAAAAATTCTCCAAATCGGTCCGGCCCTTCTCAACATTTTGATTTTTATACCCTCCACCTTATTATAGAGGGTATAATAACTTTGTCATTCCGTTTGTGGTTTGTGACTCCTCATTCAGATCGGCGTAGGAGTTTTCGAGTGCGGATGTATCTGGATTCGTTGGATTTGCTGGATGCCATAAAGAAAACTCCACCAGCCGAACAAAACTTAGCTGAAACATTTTCTAAAAAGGACAAAAGGGCTAAGACAACAATCATCAGCCTAATAGCAAATGATTATTTGGAATAATTTCGCGACAAGAAAGCAGCGAAGGAGATGTGGTCTGCTCTGCAAAATATATTTGCTAAGAAGTCGGTTACGAGTCAGACATTGTTAAGAAAACATTTAGCGGTTCTGCGAGCCTTGTGATGATTTGTGAAAACCTTTACTATTGTTTGATGAGCTTTTACGAAAATTAAAAACGTCTGGAACAAACGTGGATGAAAGAGATGCCGTTGCTCAACTTTTTGTCACGCTACTAGAAGATTTTGACCCGGTAGTGGCCGCGTTGGAAAATATGAATGAAGAAAACTTATCGAAATAGTTAAGCGGAGGCTATTGGCAGATTATGCGAAGAGGCATGATCGTTGTGGCATTGATACTTCCACGACATCTGCATTTAGTAGTGTGAATAAGTCGAAAAATTTCCTTGGTGCCGAATTACCACGTTCGTTTGGTTCGAAGTCAATTTTTTTCATGACAGCGATCCCTGATTCTAAGATAATTAAAGATAAGTCTGAAGATTTAGTACTCAAAATAGATTCTAATGTGTAAACAAGATTGGTGTTTCAGAAATCTACAAAATTTTAATGAACCCATTAACGTAAATGTTAAAGACACTAAAAATCATACAGCTTACAAGAAATGTGTAAGCAAAGGGTAATGGAAAGATACACCAATCACAATGTAAGATGTCCTATATGTTAATGCGAAGTTCGACCATTACTTAAGAAATATCTACATAATTCCCCACACAAAATTTGCTGTGCGAACAAAGATTTTTGTTCTTTGTTCAATTCAAATGACTCTCAGAACTAAGATGAAATGTGTGTCATCCCTAACAAATGAGAGCATTTATCGAAAAAATAAATTATGACACTTAAAAATTCAAAATAGAAAAATTTAATAAAATTTAAAAAATTTTTGAGAGGACTGAAAATTATGAATGAAAACTACAATGACGATTGGCGTATGTGCATTCAAAC